ATTGGTGTGTGTGTGTGTGTGTGTGTGTGTGTGTGTGTGTGTGTGTGTGTGTGTGTGTGTGTGTGTTGAACCTTGTCGCCATTAAAGACGTCATGAACTGATTTATGAATCATGAATAAAGTTGCTTTTTGACACATTTATCTTGTGCCGATGAGTTTCTTGCAGGGGGCTGCATTTCCCTTCATTATTAATTTGAGACTCTCAGAGGTGCAGTTCTGTGTGTTCACCACCAGATGTCACTCTTGTCATGTGTTATAATCAGCAGACTCAGAGTGAGACTCACTGAGAAGCTTTAAAAACATCTTTAAGTATCTTTATGTTTAATAAAGGAAAGCTTCCTATAAAAATAAAAACACACATATATGTAGAAATGTTTGTGTGAATATGAGTCATGATGTTTTTAAAAAGACGTCTGCATCTTTCAGCACCTCGACGACTTCCACTAATGATTATTAATCTGCTCATTAACTCCATTGATCGGACATGAAAATCGGACACCCAAAAAAAAGATGTAAAGAATACCCCTAGATGAATCAAACTTAAACTTTGCAATTAAAAATAGATTTATACAAGAAATGTAAGAAATGTACATAACCCGTGCAGGGATAGAAATATATGTGAGATTTAAACAAGAACCTAAAAACAGCTGAGGAAAAAAATCTGTAATTAGACCTGAATATAAAAAATAAAAAAGTGTTGACCTTCTGAAGTTGTGATGTTTATATATGTACAGCAATGTTTGAAAAGAAGATTTATATTTATTTTTATTTTATATTATATTTATCAAATATTTATTTGATAAAAAATGGCTGAAACGTTTGAGTGCTCTGACTTTGTTTCCAAGTGTTTATTTGTGGATTCATGTTGGGTCAGCAGTAACAGAGATGTGATCACAAAGTGTCACTAGGGGTTCAAGGGGCTTTGACCTTTGACCCCTCAGTTTGAGCTTCCAAAGAAAAAAAGAAACAATCCACTGAAGTTGGGGGGGGGGGGGCATCTGAGCAGAGACTGACTGGGACAAATATGACCCTGCCTCTTAGATCGGTTTCTTAGCGTGCGTGTGTGAGGGTTGGAGCAGTTTGGACAGTTATGACCCTCCACCTCTGAGCGTTGACTGTACCGTCCCCCCACTCTCGCTCATCTCTCGCTCTCACGCTGTGAACCCACTTCACACACACACACACACACACACACACACACACACACACACACACACACACACACACACACACACACACACTGCTGGGTAGGAGGCAGAGCTGCACAGTTCACAATAATCATGATCACTACATAAATATGACGCAGGGTCTTAACAACAGACCAGGAATTTGCAGCCCCCTGGTGGGTCATGAAGGTACTGCAGGTGTTGGCTGTGAGAGGTCAGAAAATATAATTATTTTGCTTTTCAAGATTAAAGATTAAAGCAGGCTGAAGCTATATGAGCCACCTGCTGATACCTGCATGATAAATACAGATACAATAAGATGAACCAGAGTCACTGCAGCCTGAGAAACAATCACAATACTCTGAAATATATATATATATATAACACTTTTCTTAATTTTCTCGCTGAGGTACAAGATTTATTTTCCAAGAGAGTCCTGAACCAGAGAGCAGCATCAGAGATTCACACAATAAACAAACTTTACATCAATCAACCAATCAGAAGCCTCCAGCAGAGAAACATGTGAATACAGTGGTCAAATGATCCTTTATCCTGCTTTTTAAATCTTCCAAGCCGATTAAACAGACTCTGCAGCTCAGACCGAGACGATGGTGCTAACACACTCAAAGCGCTTTCACCAAAGTGAGAGAACGTTTTGTTGAGATCTGATCAGGAAGTGTCGTCAAGGGGCGCTGCGCCACAGATGAACATGTTTTAATATCTGAACAGCAAGCGTGCTGCGCTCACCTCAACAGGGTGCAGACGCGCTCTTGCACTGCGCTACACATAGACAGTGAATGGGTTTTAGAGTGGCTCGCAGCGCCCACCACATCCTTTCTGAAAGGACGCTCATCGATGCCTTTGGGGCTGCGCGTGTTTAAGGGCGGATAAAATAAGTAGGGAAAATTGGAATATAGACTAAAGAGTCACTAATTGAACTAACTGAGACACAGGCCCCTGTCGACTCATCCTTAACATACTTATTAAGAAGACTTTTTCTAAATCACAACATCTAATGACCATGAACTCATACAGCTTACAGTCACTTAGTGGACTCTGCAGGTCTCTGGTTCTGGCTCTGATCGGCTGTGTTTTGTGCAGATCGAGGCCCTGAAGGTCTTCAGTCAGGGGGAGCTGGTCTCCTGGTTCATGGAGCACAGAAACGGCAGCAGTAGGAGGCTCAGCGTGCACGTGAGTCTGTTTGTTGAGTTGACGTCATGAAGGTTTGTAAATCTCTCGTAGACTGAGTTTGAACCCTTTTAAATATGGAATCAGTTCTAACATTAATTCTGAACAGAAGAGCTGAGCGAACATGAATCAGAACCTGTTTTTTACTCCTTGTTCACGTGGTAACGACCAGTTTGTGATTATTATTTCAAGAAGTCAACTTGTCTCGTATCGTCAGAGGCAAAAGCACGAAACGGTTATAGAAAATGTAGCGTAGAACTTGGTGTTTCAAGCCCCGTGTTCACTGAGCTTTTTTTTTTTTTCTGAGCGCCTGCAACTTTTTTCAATTGTTTTCAATGAGGAGAGAGCGTTTCCAATGAGGAGAGAGCGTTTCCAATGAGGAGAGAGCATTTCCAATGAGGAGAGAGCGTTTCCAATGAGGAGAGAGCGTTTCCAATGAGGAGAGAGCGTTTCCAGCAGCAGACGGACACCCGGAGAAAAAGCGCAGTGCTGCTCAGTGTTTTTTTTCCGGGCGCTCTGCCTTTTTTTATGCAGTCGCCCCAAGCACTGAAGCTAGGGTGAGCCTAGAGCGTGTTAAGAGTGAGCTTAGAGTGAGCTTAGAGTGAGCTTTAAGCTAGCATAGGGCGAGCTTCAAATGAGTTTAGAGCGATCTTAGATTGAGTTTAGGGCGAGCTTAGAGCAGTTTAGAAGAGAGCTTAGATTGAGTTTAGAGCAAGGCATCACAGGTGTTATCATGTGTAAATTACAAACTGATGTCAGTTTCTTTTTTCAGAGGGAGGTAGGTGCCATAAACCTGAGAACAAGTTCAGAGGTGGATTCAAATGAAAGGGTTAAAAGACCAAAAGGGAATATTCTTTTAAATTAGTTTAGCTTCATAAGGAAAAGCTTTGTGAGTTTCACTTAATTTACTAGAACAGTGTTTTTGAGTTCATGTGAATGTATTAGTTCAGTTCAGCGCACACGTTACTGGGAGTAAAACTTTTTTTATCCCAAAATACATTCATGATTACGATTTTAGTTATAATCAAGCAGCTTTAAAACAATATATATTCTTTGTGTTTCCTGGTTTGTAAATACAGGCCCAGAGCTTATAGAAAAATACTGTTCAGCTTATTTTCTGTTGGAGTATGTTTGATTTTAATTAAAGTCATCGACCAGGTCTGTTCAGACAAACTCCTGAGTTAAGATGAAGGTTGATCTTTTCTGTAATAAACCTGAACAGAATGAAGAGCAGGAAATAACAATCACTGCATCCCTTATTGGTTTAAACGAGTCAGCTCCGTCGCTTTGACTGTGAAAAATGTAGTATGATCATTTCCAGGGAGTAAGTGAATGCAGCACGAAGACTCAGGGCTCTGGTTTAAAATCCAGTCTGATACAAGAGACGACAAAGACGGGCATCTGTATCTTGAAAATGTGACTTCAGCCAGTATCACTGCGAAACCTACCATGTTTTTATTTATGCGTTTACATATTCATGTTCATACTGACTACTGGATGATGTATATGAAGAATTAAATGTACAGATTAAACAGCTTCTGGTGGCCAGTGATTTCAAACTGTGACGTATTTTAACTCAGAATGTACCGCTGTGGTTTATGAGTCCCGGAGAACGCTACCGAAATAATTTAAAATGACTTAAACTTTCATTTTAATGACGATTAAAAAAATACGTAATCAAATGTTTCAGTGAAGAGAAGTTTTGTTTGTTTTTCTGTCCTTCAGTAATTATAGAACAATAATAAAGACTTTTATAAATGCTTCAAATGTAACTTTTATTCAGTGTGTTTCTCTGTTTAAGTGCTGTGATACAAAGTTAAGATCGTATGTCAAACTGGTGTTTAGAAAGCATAGGTTTGGATTAAGGTCAGGTTCGAAGATTTTGAAATGTGTCAGTGTGACGTCTTGTCAGTGTGAGATCACTGATCTAAGCCCATTGGCTCATTGCGGCAAGCCCTGCAGCTCAAGTTGAAATTTCCCAGAAGCGTGCTGAGCAACTGACCAATAACGACAGAGCAGATCGGCAGACCAATCAGAGCAGACTTGGCCCACGTGGGGTCTAACAGTGTGGGCTCAACAGAGTGTAGCTGACGGACTCAGAGCGTAGAGGGAGCAAGGAGGAGCAGTACATAAAAACAGACACTTTTTAAAAACTTTATCTATTGTGAACGTACAAAAGTAGGAACATAGATTAAATATACAAACCCCTAAAAGGGCAGAATATGGGCTCTTTAAGATGTCCTGCCCTTTTGTCCTGATGAAGGTCTAGTACCCAAACGTTGCCCTGTGAGATGCTATACACAAACACCACATTATATTACTATTGTGCTCCTACAGCATCTAAGCAGCAGGTTTGTACTGTGGTATCACTACATCTACCTAAGCAAAGGATTGTTGTACACAGTTCTTTGACTGGCATACTAATTTGTTTGTGGAGCAGCTCCACCCTGCTCTTTTTCAAACAGGCAAGTCCAGGCAGTAGAGAAAGAATGAGCTAAGACTGCACCCAGGATAAAAATAGGACGAAAAAATTCACCTGGGTTTTATTGCCTCTGTCTTATTGAGAACAGTACACCGGGAGCTTTCCTAAAAGACATAGATGTTTCTAACTTGGTTTTATTGTGGGGTGTGAATTTAGAGTTGAACTCTGTCTCTATGGGTGTGACTGTTCTTTACAGCTCTCACGGTGTCAGGGAACGCTCCGGTGAAGACAACATAGAAGGTATCATTTTCACTGCATAGTGCATTATTCATCTCAGTATATTCCCTTGTGAGTTAAAACTTAGTTCATTTTTATTTAGAATATTCTTCCTGTTATTTTCTGGAAGAGACGGCCAGCAGTGCGAGGAGACGTCAAAGAAGTTAAGAGGTAAGAGATTCACCTGATTAAAACATATAAGTGAATAAAGATTGCCAATTCAGATGTTCTTTGTGTTGCAGGAGATATCTTTGGAATAAACCTGTAACTTTGTTTATTTGTCAGACAATCATTCATCATAAAACTGTTATTTGTCGTAGTCTTAGTAGTCCATATTATTTAACTCTAGGACCGCGCCCTAAAGATTTCGATCCCTATTTTGCACTTACACAGTGACAGCAACTGTTTGCCTGATGAAGGTTAAGCACCAAAACGTTGCCAATAAATGTTTGTTTGCAAGTTAGACAGTGAGCGGGAGTTTATCTTTAAGTACAGAAGAACATAATGTAATGAAAAGGGTTTAATCATGAGATCAGCTCTACAGTGTCAGACCCAGTCTAGGCAGGAAAAACAGGATTGCCGACTTGCAGATGAGGAAATAGAAATGATTGAGCCAGAGCTCAAGATTGGATGAACATATTTTCTAAATGACCTGAAACAGCTGGTGTTGACACCTGATGTTTATATTGAGAGGGTTTTTTTCAGAATCCGGCAGGTAAGTGCGGACACAGTTGAAATTATTCAGTCTTAATTGACTTAGCTTACGTATAACATCAGTAGATTGTCGTGATTTACCTTTGTTTAGTTTGTTTATTTCTTGTTTTTGTTGCTTAAATGTGAGTCCGTTTTATTTTGTCATTTGTATCCTCGTGTCTCTCTTTTCTGTGTCTTCAGTGTTTCCTGTCTTATGCTATTACTGCCTTTTGTGTCATCTCTTGATTGAAGTGTTGCCCTTGCCCATGAACAGTTTTATATCTGAGACCCGTATGTAGTGTTTCCTGTTTTATATCTGGGTGGTATAGCGAGGAGAGTAGGCCCATTCGCGGGAGCTACAGCGGCTGTGGCTCAGTTGATAGAGTCGGTCACCTCTCAACCAGAAGGTCTGGGGTGCAATCCCCAGCTCCTGCACACCTAACCTCACCACACCTCCTGCTTCTTCAGCCGTGTATGACTGTGTATGAATGTGATTAGTTACTTCTGATGGTCTCTTTACTCAGCGGCCTCTACCATCAGTGTGTGAATGGATGAGTAAATACTGATGGACTCTTTACTCAGCAGCCTCTACCATCAGTGTGTGAATGGATGAGTTAATACTGATGGACTCTTTACTCAGCAGCCTCTACCATCAGTGTGTGAATGGATGAGTTAATACTGATGGACTCTTTACTCAGCAGCCTCTACCATCAGTGTGTGAATGGATGAGTTAATACTGATGGACTCTTTACTCAGCAGCCTCTACCATCAGTGTGTGAATGGATGAGTTAATACTGATGGACTCTTTACTCAGCGGCCTCTACCATCAGTGTGTGAATGGATGAGTTAATACTGATGGACTCTTTACTCAGCGGCCTCTACCATCAGTGTGTGAATGGATGAGTAAATACTGATGGACTCTTTACTCAGCGGCCTCTACCATCAGTGTGTGAATGGATGAGTTAATACTGATGGACTCTTTACTCAGCGGCCTCTACCATCAGTGTGTGAATGGATGAGTTAATACTGATGGACTCTTTACTCAGCGGCCTCTACCATCAGTGTGTGAATGTGTGTGAATGGATGAGTTAATACTGATGGACTCTTTACTCAGCGGCCTCTACCATCAGTGTGTGAATGGATGAGTAAATACTGATGGACTCTTTACTCAGCGGCCTCTACCATCAGTGTGTGAATGGATGAGTTAATACTGATGGACTCTTTACTCAGCGGCCTCTACCATCAGTGTGTGAATGGATGAGTTAATACTGACGGACTCTTTACTCAGCAGCCTCTACCATCAGTGTGTGAATGGATGAGTTAATACTGATGGACTCTTTACTCAGCAGCCTCTACCATCAGTGTGTGAATGGATGAGTTAATACTGACGGACTCTTTACTCAGCGGCCTCTACCATCAGTGTGTGAATGTGTAGGTGTGACCTGCGGTGTAAAAGTGCTTTGAGTCTTCAGAAGACTAGAAAAGAAATATACAAGCTATTACTGCCAGTCCATAACAACAGCCCCAGCTAGTGGCTGCATTGCAGTTTCAGCATAACTTTTTACCAACATTAAAATATTAATAATTAATATTGTTTTGGTTAGTAAGGGTGTTAAAGTTTAACCATTTAGTTGACTAAACTCACAAAGCCCTATTGCTGACAGCCCCAAACTGATTTATTTATTAATGAGTTATATTAATAAAAGTAATGTTAGAATAATATTTACAGACTTTATCTACTACTGTGCGTAACAGTGTTTGTGAATAAAATGCTTCTTGCTATGGGAGTGATTTTCATAGAAATAGGCCAATTCCCCCTCAATGACTTAATTTAAAGACACGCAAACAGTTATCATGTGCAGCGAGGAGGTTCCTGGTTTGAATCCCCGTCTGACGGGAGCCTCTCTGTGAGGAGGTTCCTGGTTTGAATCCCAGTCTGACGGGAGCCTCTCTGTGAGGAGGTTCCTGGTTTGAATCCCAGTCTGACGGGAGCCTCTCTGTGAGGAGGTTCCTGGTTTGAATCCCCGTCTGACGGGAGTCTCTCTGTGAGGAGGTTCCTGGTTTGAATCCCCGTCCTTCAGGAGAATCTCTGTGAGGAGGTTCCTGGTTCGAATCCCCGTCTGACGGGAGCCTCTCCGTGAGGAGGTTCCTGGTTTGAATCCCCGTCTGACGGGAGCCTCTCCGTGAGGAGGTTCCTGGTTTGAATCCCCGTCTGACGGGAGCCTCTCCGTGAGGAGGTTCCTGGTTTGAATCCCCGTCTGATGGGAGCCTCTCTGTGAGGAGGTTCCTGGTTCGAATCCCCGTCTGACGGGAGTCTCTCTGTGAGGAGGTTCCTGGTTCGAATCCCCGTCTGACGGGAGTCTCTCTGTGAGGAGGTTCCTGGTTTGAATCCCCGTCTGACGGGAGCCTCTCTGTGTGGAGGTTCATTGGCTGGCGACCAGTCCAGGGTGTAACCCCACCTCTCACCCAATGACAGCTGGGGTCGCGTCTAGCCCCTCGCGACCCCAAATGAGACAACCGGTTTAAGATGATGGATGGATGTGTGTCATGATTTGGTCTTATTTAAGTTGTATATTTTGTATTTTCAGAGTTGAGATTTAGTTTTCCTGTTTTCGTAGTTCTCGTTTCCTAGTTTACTTTATAGTGTTTTTATTTTGGGAATTTTGTATCCCAGTGTTCAACGTTCTAGTGTGTATTGTCTATGTTTAGTTGTCTTGTTGGTCTCACCTGTGTTTGATTACCCATGTCTATTAAGTCTCTGTGTTTCTTCCCTTCTGTGTCAGATCATTGTCATGTTTCAGTATATGTCGTTTGTCAGTTGTCCCTGTGATTTTTTCTGTTGGACATTTGAAAGTAAGCGTTGTTTTTGGACCGTTGCCTTTTTGTTTAATTAAATATCTTTTTAGTTCTGCACCTGGGTCCTTCTCTTAGTTTTTTCTCTTTCCATGACAATGTCTTTTGTTAATTAAATGGTCTTTTTGACTCATTTGCACAGGTTAACCGGGAGCAGAAGCTGAAATCTATCAGTGAACCAGGCCTCAAGTTTTCAGTGAAGGATGTCATCCTGGCGGCGCAGCACACTTCAATGCGTCGCCATGAAGAATCATGGAAGTTGAACCCTGAACGGATCTTATCACCATTTTTCTTTCGTCAAGGCCATAGTGCTTCTCTCAGGTAAGAGTCTTTATCAGCTCTCATACACAATGTTCACTCTGCTCCAAATGTCAACGGTTTGATAGCTGAACATATCTGCAGATAAATTAAATGTCACAGTGCCACCTAGTTGTAACTCATTTCCATATACTCGCCCGTCAGCACCAAGGTTTTGCTCAGTCAGAGGGCGTACGCCCTACCCCACCGTATCTGTTTATGGAACGTGACTGCAGCAGAGCTCAGCCCTGAGCAGCTGTACTCGCAGCACAGGAGAATTACAAGATCACGCAAACAACAGGTTGCTTTGTCGTTCTGAGGATGATTTGTTGTTCGTTTGGTTCCTGCTTTAACGTAATGTTGATAAAGTGATGGAATGATTGTCAGTCTGTATATTGTGTTTTATTTTGAAATTGATCGGACGCTCTCTGCGTTTTTTCGTCCGACTTCCTGTTTGGGTTGTTATATTCTGTCCAGCTTGATGTGTGGTGGCAGCGTACTCCGTCAAAAATAGACTTGCAGCATATTTGAAACAGAGCAGAGCATAGCGGCGCTGCTGGCACGCTCCGAAGACGGGCCGCGACGCCCTCTGTGGAAACAGGAGCATTGACTAGAGTGGCAACGAATGGCGGCGTAGAGCGCGGCACCTTTCTGAATTTACTGAGTTTTGGGAATTGTGGGTTAGAATATTCTCATAGAGGATACAATTATTTTTCAATAAAAAATTGACTTCAGTCTTTTAACGTTAAGAAAAAAGTTGGTGCTCATTCTTTGATACCAACAAAATTTTGGCTAAATATTAAAGGAAGAATGTGTGACATGTTACACATAAATATATCAGATATGAAGTGCATCCTGTGTAAATGTGTCTCTGAGTCATGACTGTCTACAATGAGTGTGAAGCTCGAGTCCCGCTGGCTGTGTTGTTGTCAGGCCGTGTTTACATGGACGGGAGCAGCTCAAGCAAAGGATAATTTTGTCCTCTGCTTTCCACTAAACTCCTCTGAGCAAACGTGAGTGTAGAGGGTTGGAGATGTGTAACTGTAGGAGAGCAGAGGCTTCAGTATGGAGGAGGCGTGGCCAAACAGCAGTTTGTATTGCTTTAATGCTGGTGCTCATAGGCGACATCTACTGGAACAAAAAATTGCGCATTCACATTTAACTATTATTTGTTCTTTGTAAAGCTTGTTAATCCGAAGAAACTAGAAAATACTTTATTTCTTTAGATGCTTTAGTCCAGTGATTCTCAACTAGTGGGTCCCGACCCAAAAGTGTCTAAATATGCATGAGCTTTTATTATGAAGGGCCTTTTGAAGCAGTAGATGAGTTAATTCCCACTTCAGTCCAGTAGGTGGAGGTAATGCACACTAACTGTAGTTGACGACCGCAATTACACAGCAAAGAAGAGGAGCCTCATACTGCAAAGTTCCTCGAGTGTCCACTAGAGGCTGGCCACAGAAGCACAGGAAGTCACATACACACCCATTCAAAAGCCTGTTTTTACAGCAGAGATTAACATGTTTATAGTATATAATAGTTCTGATTAGTTGTTTTTTTTTTAAGCTTAGAGCTAGTTGACATCTGCAGTCCCTATCAAAACAAAGACTTGTGTAAACCAGTGTACTTCTAGTGATGAAAGTTGATTTCTCTAGTTTTTAGAAATTTTCAAAAGTTATAATCATCACTGGCACACACTGAACAGGGGTTATTTTTTCTTTTTTAAATGGCTCCGTTTTGATTTTATTAATGATACCTGTTATACATAGTAAAGCGCATAGCTGACATGATTGGCAGGTCGGCACGGTGTAACGGTTCTTCAAGAAGCTTTAAAACCTGCCTCAGCTCCAGCTCTGAGCTTGGGACTCCATAGCTCCCTGCCGTAACAGATGGCTGACGCCACTCAGGCTTCGTGCAATAAAATGTACAGTCTTTGGTTTTTACACTGCTGCTAATTTGTCATGGCAAAATGCAAATATGACATTGACTACATGAAATATGGATTTTCTAATCGATTATATGACGATTCTGATAATTTACTTGATGAGGAATATTTTCCTCTTCAGTGCTGCCACCTGCTGGTCATTTTGGTTGACAATTAAACCATTGTTTGTTTATAGATTGGCATACTTTGATGTTTTGTACTGTTACAGATCCAAAGTGCACCATTTATTCATTAAATAAATATGAGCGTTGACAATGTTCACCAATTTGGGTTGCGGCTGGTCATTTAGGGGTGGTGGCAGGTTCCGAAGCCATACCAGTGGAGAACCCCTGCTTTAGTCTGTTGCTGGGTTGATTTTATCTTTATTGATATATCTTATTTCTTTTATATTTGATGAATATGGTAATATAATATTATATCACTAAATATATCACTTAACTGTTTAATCTTTTCAGATGATTAAAAATGAGGCGCTCAAGAACTCAGCCAATTGCTGAAATTGAGAAATGGACAGAGGAAGACGTCCATCGGTGGCTGATGACAGAGGTCAAAGTACACAAGACATGTGCAGACAGGTTTGTTGAAGAAGAAGTGTCAGGAGACTCTTTAGTTGCCTTTAAAAAGACAGATATATTGGACTTGGGAATAAAACATGGTCCTGCTGTCAAAATAATATCTTATCTTGAAAGTCTAAGAGATGGTTTACAACGTGATCAGTTCCCAGCTTATGTGGAAAATTGGACGAAGGAGCAAGTGCACCAGTGGTTACTGCAGCATGTGAATGCTTACAGCAAATATGCTATACGGCTCCAAGAAGAAGATGTGTCTGGAGATTGCCTTGTTTGTTTCAAGAAGCAAGATCTTCTGGACCTGGAAGTCAAAAGTGGCCCTGCTGTTAAGATTCTGTCAAATCTCAGACAACTGAGCAAAGACCAAGAGCCGACTCTGCAACCCATCCCTCATAATGAACAAAAAGAAGCTCCAAACCCCATTCAACCGGAAGTCAGTGTGGCTCAGACGGTAGCATCGGATCCAGCAGAACCGTTCAACACAACTGAAGTGCAAGCGGACAAAATGTTAGGAAAGAAGTCTGGAAAGGCTCAACAGCAATTCAAGAAAGCTTCAGAGGAGAAGAAGATTGATGAGCCAAAGCCACAAAACTTCAAAGCCAGAAGGAAAGAAACCGTGGTGGTAAATTGTCTCCATTGTTTTACACATATTTACACATGTTTTACCAACAGCATTAACTCTTTCAGTTCTATTTTCCCATATCATGTTTATTTTTGTAATATTGAGATTTTCTGTAATTTTAACATATGTTTATGTGCCTCTTCCACATACTGTACCTCTAATCAAATTGGACTGAATTTAATCTTGCGCTTACGTCTCTCTGCTTACGTCCAAACTCTCAATGACGTAAAACTCACAAAAGCCTAATTTCAATACTACTGCCTCCACAACCTGTGCAACTGTTATCATAAACGCTTTTTATTTAGTTAATCACCAGCAAAGCGCACCAACCAAACGTGCAAATCTGTTTTTTCTGTTTTTTTAAAATGTGCAATTTGTTTGAATGAACAGGCTATTTCTTTACCAGGTATTTTAGTAAATCAGGCCTTAAATATGTACTTTTGGTTCTTCCTGCAGACCTCAGTCCTTCCGGGAGTTCCCAATATAACTGTGGTGATCCAGGAAACCCTGGATAACCTTAAAAAAGAAGACTTTAAAAAGTTTCATTTTCACCTAAAACAATACAAAACATCCCAGTTTCAACCTATTCGTGAGAGTAAACTGGAGGGCAAGGACACCATGGACACTGCTCAATTAATGACTGACCACTATGAGAGCAATGGGGCTGTGAGAGTCACAGTAGATGTTCTACGGGAAATCAATCAATGTGAACGTGCTAATCAGCTTGAAAACACCATGGGTAAGACCACCAATGTAAAAATGAATTTAAATAATGAATTTGCATTTAGTTGCTCAAAATATTCAACAGTAAAAAATAAATACACATTGCATTGTTTACTAAATTACTCATTTATTTTACTTCTAATACAGGTGGACTGGAGCAGCATCTTCTTTCGAGAGATAAGAAGAAAGAAGCCAACCAGGGTGAAAAACTGAAAAACTTGTTGACTTGTGGTGGGAACTCATTAGACAACTACGACAACATGATTATTGTTGTAAACAAGAGCAGTCCAGAGCAAGTGCAGTATCTCAAGTTTCTGAATAAACTGAAACTTTTCTGTGTGTTAGACTTTGACCCAGACTCCAATACTCAGGTTGGACTGTGCCATTCATACAGAGAGTCAAGGTGGGCCAATCTTCACACCCCCTCACAGTATCAAGGACAGATTGACTCAGTCATAAAGAACCTTAACCTCTACAAACAGACCAGCTGGGTCTTCTGCAATGGGAGACATGACCTTGAAGGTGACTCAAACAAGGAGTTAAACTATTGGAACTGGCTGAGGAAATCTTGCAGCGATGTCGAGCAACTGGTTTCATTCATTTGCAACCCTGAAGTTTTTCTCCATGGAAGAAGTCTCATCATGTTCCTTCTTCTTTCACCTGTAGACTCAGAAAAAGATCCCATCTGTGACACCTACAAGGCTTTCATGAAGCACATTGAAGAAGAAATGATCATTCATATTTGTGAATCTCAGAGCACATATGAGAAATGGAAGGAACTGATACAAGAAAAGTTGGACTTTGACATTGACCCACAATCAGTATATGAGCTGAGCCTCAGTGAGGTCAATGGAACAGTACTGGCTCTAAGACCATTCAGTGAGTCATCTGAAAGGCTGCTTCCTTCCTCTGACTCCAGCTTTGTCGTTCTAAAAAATAAGGATGAAGACTTATTGACAGCTTTGGACATTTTGTGTCTGAACCAGTGTGAAAATATCTACGAAGATAAAAGTCCAGAGTTTAATGACAAAAGAACAAAAGTTGAGGAGGAATTCTACAGGGGAGGCAAAGTCAAATGGTGGAACTTCTTCTTCTGTGACAAAGACAAACAGAAACCATTTATCAAGAGAGACAAGTATGAAAATTTGAAAAGGATGATCAGGAGTGAGTTGAGAGAGTCAAAAGAAATGTGTGTTCTGCTCAATCTGTTTCACAATCCAGGCTGTGGTGGAACCACTTTAGCAATGCATGTCATGTGGGATCTCCGTAAAGAGATTAGATGTGCTGTGCTGAAAAGACAATTCACTGCCAATGACAGA